TCCCATTTTCAGGCAAGTAAATCAACCCATTCATTGTTTTTGACATTTGTTTTATAAATAGTAAGAGTGATTTTGACCGTTTCACCCTGAACATCATACTACAGGAACACAGTGGAATATTCCCATCTTTTCTCAAGGTCTTTTGTATCATTTGTTTTGGATTTTTTTTCTATTAAGAGTAAAAGTGACGATGATGGCTTTTATTTGGTACACAGAAACACATACCTGTCCAATTTGTTCTTCTATTTGACCTTTGTACCGCTTTTGTTCAAAGTCCGTCGCAAGAGCAATAACACTGAATTGGTGAAAAACATTTCTACAAATACAAACACTGACCTTTTACTAGTCGATGTGCATGTTCCACGTACCAAATGCTTTTTAACAAGATTATTTAATATTTAATCTTGACTGGTCAATCTGGCAAGCAGTTTTTAGAACCACTAGTCCAGCTGGGGATATCACTAGTTTCAGACTATCAGGCTACCCTTATTGTCTAGCCCTGTGTCACTAGTCTCAGACTATCAGGCTACCCTTATTGTCTAGCCCTGTGTCACCAGTCTCAGACTATCAGGCTACCCTTATTGTCTAGCCCTGTGTCACCAGTCTCAGACTATCAGGCTACCCTTATTGTCTAGTCCTGTGTCACAAGTCTCAAATTAGCAGGCTACCCTTATTGTCTGGTCCTGTGTCACTAGTCTCAGACTATCAGGCTACCCTTATTGTCTAGTCCTGTGTCACTAGTCTCAGACTATCAGGCTACCCTTATTGTCTGGTCCTGTGTCACTAGTCTCAGACTATCAGGCTACCATTATTGTCTAGCCCTGTGTCACTAGTCTCAGACTATCAGGCTACCCTTATTTTCTAGCCCTGAACATAACAGCTATGTTGTTGTCTCAGCTTTTTTATGAGTAGCACTACCGACTGAATGGTGCGGGTTACCTACTTTTTCATATAAAAGTGTAAAAAATGACACTGACCATTTAAAGTTGTTAGGAAACATGCGTTCGTCTTATATCATTCAGCATTATTGATCAAATGAAGATTTAGATATATAAAAAATCTTGTATGACTCATGACAACAGCGGTGTGAGCAACTCATCCCCTAGAACCACTAGCTGATGTATGAGGGGTGTAAAATAGGAAGACATACTGGTAAATGAACGAGCACAAATTTAAATATTCTAAAATCTAAAATTCAAGATTCAAGAAAGAGACAAAACATTATTGAAATAATAACAATAATAATGTCTGGATTTGACGGTATTTAAACTTGTTCCTGAACACATATACATACTGTTTAGCTTAATTTAAAACATCCTAACAAAACTAGTTCACAGGAAACTGACTGATACCTTGTACAACATTTATATTAACTGACCTTCAAGCACATTGAAATATTACAACAACAAAAATGTGTTGAAATGTTTAAAACTTTTCCCATACCCTAGTGTATTTAATGAATGTGAAATTACTGGTAAGAATAATTAATTAATTACCGTAGTAACAATATTTTATTTCATACGTTCATGGATGAAATTAATTCTGTAATGAGCTTCCTCGCCACATACATACACACCCCTAATTCTTACTTTTAGGGAAAAAAATTATCTATCGAAACATTGAATAACCAAAGCACTTTTTCTACATGTTACTCCATGCTCTAACAAAAAAGATGTGTATCTGCTTTTACATTATGTTTAAGAGTTTCAGTATGTGTAAATTGCAGTACGTGAGCATGTATAATGTGCTATTACAGTAAAACCTTGATGTAATGCCTTCATTTACACTGCCACCTCATTTACTGTCATTCAATATTCACATTAGCGTTTTTCTTTAACCGTTTCACCCCGATATAACTTTAGTTGACTCTACCATGCATTAATATGGATGGGTCCATTATGGTCCACAGTGGTGAAAGGGTTAAGGATCCTTGTCCCACTGCTTGCGAAATACTAGTTTTTTCCCCATACAAACAGTTATCTCCCTTTAATTGCTCTCTGGCTATAACTATAGTGCCACTGAGGAGCCAGGGTCAGAACCATCACTGATCAGCCAGCGCAGTTGGTTAGATGATTCAAACCCCGGACTGGCTCTGTTTAATATTAAATCATAGTACACTGTTGTTGATCTTTCATTTCAATTCTTGTAAATTGTTGATAGAACTCCTTAAGGTATGGATTTCTTTCCAGAAATTTTACTAAATCTTTTGACAGGCTTGTTAAAAATAAAATCCAACTCAGTTACATTTTTTGGCAGTGGTACATGTATCCTTAAAGCCAACAGGATACCAACCCCTTGTCAATGTCCTCCACGATGTGTTGATAGGAAAAAATCTGATAAGGAAAAGGGATGTACATGTAATTTAATGCCTTTCTCCTTGTTGTAACCAGGAAATGCATGGTATAATTTAATGCAAAAAATATTTTTCTTATAAGAAATCAATTTTCCGGGCAGTATGCCCATGTTTGCATGACATTGCATCTTCCCAAGACGTATTTACATACCTATTTTTATGATCCTGTGTGTTTATACTGTGATAGGGGTGGTGAAGACATGCTTCAGATACACAATGTAGGTCAAAAGCAAATTGTTTGGTCACAGTGACCTATTTTTTGCGTACATGCACTTTGCCTCTACCAGATGTCTTTGCATTCAAAGTTTGATGATATAGACAAAATATTTGGAAGGCTCCTGTCAAACAACTGTTCATTTTAATATTGGAATTTTCAGATAAAAAGGACCCCGAACTCCTGCAAAGACTGTAAATCAAAATACAGCTTCCGCACACATCTTAGCCACATGTATCATACACACATCTTAGCCACATGTATCATACACACATCTTAGCCACATGTATCATACACACATCTTAGCCACATGTATCATACATACAAAATTAGACCAAAATACAGACAGCCATGTCCCGCTCTGCTCCAAACTTTCCCCTCCAACTAACTGGCCAAATCGTGGCACTATACCAAGGTTTTGCAGTAATATTGTATGATAAATGCCTAACCTTAAATGTGTAACTAACTGTTTTGTCCGAGTGTCATGAAATGTGTCTACACTATACAGTTATATAATAGCCTACATTCCTAGAGAAAAGGTACTGTCGAATTAAATTAGCTTGCAGTAATGAGAATGTCAGAAATATACATAACCTACATTATAAATTTTAGCACTATGTCATTAACACACATGCATTCATCAGTTGGTGAACTTCGTACAATACGCCCGGAACAACACACAGACACATAACAGCTGTAGCCGCTATACCAAGGCATGTCATGGGGATAACTGATCAACTAAACATCAATGGTTCGGTGTGATCGATCTTATAATCAGGGGATTTTACTTACAAAAAACATACAAGATTTCAAGTGGTCATAGAACATGTTTGTTTGTAAATTTCTAAAGGTAAAATAATATGTATATATATATATTGTGTATGTATATAATCATGTATATATATAATTAATAATATCACAACAGTGTTATCAATTGATGTCTCAGTCGAAGGTGATATGTACATATATTTATATGTACATCTCCGAACAATCAACAGATATATATATATATATATATACAAGCCTGTATCCATGACGACTGACTTTCTCGTTATCACATGATCAGTCACATGATTCGACACACATACTCACATATTCATGAATATTTTTTATCACATTTTATACAGCATAGTCAACAAACTGGATGCTCATGATCGAAACTCGTTAGCTAACTACAGGTAAGTAATGGGTCTCAGGTAAACTCGTTAGCTAACTACAGGTAAGTAATGGGTCTTAGGTAAATTCAAATTCATATTCAGTAGGAAAAATCAAATGTACATAATGACCATCTTCTCAATATCATATTAGGTAAATTATGTAAATATATTTTACCTGTATTTAATTGCATTTACCTGCTAAAGGATTACTTAAATCTGATTTCTGGAACCTACAAAACTTCATTTCTTTTCGCTAGCATTACAATTACAGGTACTGTATGTTACTTGTATTGTAAGAAATATCTATTTTGCATAAAGTTGTGTTAAGAGTTGATAGCTAATTCAAGTTTCCCGAAAAAAGTTGTTTATAACCAACACTTTGTAGGATATTCACATTGAGAAGAAACGTGAAAAGAAGTCTCTGTAACTAAGTCCACTTTTCTGGCAGGATTACACCTATTATCAGTGATGTCCTCATTAAGTTAATCTGGAAAATAAGTTACTGCAGACATTAACAGCTTTGTAACCTGTAATGCTGTACCGTGACGGAAAACCTGCCCTAGACCCAACGTCTACAATTATCAATAGATTTTATACACAAACTAATGTGTAGTTGTTAAGACACTGTTAGGTAACTGCAGTATTTGAAAAAAAACTTGCACATTTGATTTTTACCTGTAAACATAAGAAGGAAATGAATCGTGACGACCCGAGACCATTGCTACACTGTACCTGTGAGAGCTGACCCGTCGGTGAGTGACCAGTTCACTGGACCTGACCCGTCGGTGAGTGACCAGTTCACTGTTCATCGCAATATAATACTTGTAGGAATAGTTTAATACTGCAAACTTTAAATCAACATGACCCAGATATATAGCTCTTTAAAACGTAATCACCTATTTTTTTAGATGGAATTCACGATCAACTGTAACATGAACTAAGAAAAATGTTAAACATTGTTTTATTTTAAAATCAATTATTTTTTAGTGGTAAGTTTGAGGTTATCCTTAAGTTATAAGTTAAATACCAAATCTAACCTCATAAACTAATTGAAGTAAATTTCCAAGGATTCAGAGTCCTTATCGGAGATAAACCTTCACATATAGGTTGAACCCTGGACACCCCAACCTAGAAACCCTCATCAACAATCATATTTAACACATACAAATATTTCTTGGTTTAAAGTGTGTTTTACATATAAAAACTTGCTGGGCAGAATAAAAAAAAAAAAAAAAAAAAAAAAAATTTTGGGGGAAAAAAAAAAAAAAAAAAAAAAAAAAAAAAATTATGGAAGAAAAAACAACCTAAACATTCAGCGTTTTAATTTAAAATCAGGAAATTTTAATGGTAAGTTTAAGTTGGTTCTAAAGCATTTCTAAACATTAACCTTCAAACTTAGGACTTTTCAGTGCTGACTCTCTTGGACTTCGCTCAGAGGGACAAATTCCATTGAGAGGGTTCCAGACATTGTCATGTATGCAATCATTAGGAAAACTGACTTACTCCTTGTCAAACTGAATCCAGAAATTCCCTTATTGAAAGTCTCTATAGATCTGGGTCATGTGATAGTGTAGTTTAACAAAGCATACTCAAAATTTCCTTCAAATACTGGGACAACAATTTGTTCCAATACACCTGGTCTACAACTTTACAGGAATCAAATACCGTTTGTGGTATTTATAGACCAACAGGAGTCGTGTACCCTTTAAACCCTAATGTCTTTCTGCGACAAGGTCATGTGAGGGTCACACCAAAGCCATTTTGGTCGGAGCTCACAATTCCTTTCTTGCCTTACATGCCTATACAATGTCAGAGCTCGGATTTGTCGTGGGAACGTTTCCATCCCATTCCTCCCTTCACCAGGATGAAATCTTGTCAGTTCTCCTTGGACTTGGACATCAATATCATCAGACTCCATCTTTATATTCTTTTCGACAAACTCCAGTTTCCCACATTTTATATTATAATCTGAGGTGATCAGCTTCACAGAAGAATGCGGTACCTAATCCTGACTCCACTTGAATATTCACATGAGTTATCTCCAGTGTTGAAGACTGGAGACATAGAAACACTTTGGAGACGTGATTCTTTCTTGCATGTGTGGATCATCGGCACTTTACTGGAAATGATGCACTTCTTTCTTGAATAAAATGAAAGACATCACTGGGCTTGGCGTTCATTTCCAAACAGCGGCTGACAGTAATTGGCAGACCACATTTCAGGGTGTTGAGACTATTGACGAAGAAAGTGAAACTACCTATCCAAGTAGTCGAAGATCAAACACAGCTCAGCTGGTATAGAGATGTGGTCAAGCGTATGATATTAAGGCATGTACCGGTTTTATGGAGGGAGTTACCTGCCCCTGATAGACAGTGCTGAATTGTTGCTAGAGCAAGACCGTCAGCCAGCTGTAAAGCGATGCCGTAACAAGTCTTCCGAACTTGGTCTTTCAAGTGGATTTCGTCTAAAAGTCAAACGTAAAAACTCGCGACTAAATTCTGATGATCTTTGAGGAAGTTCGAACTCTGGTCGCTCTGCGGTGGCGATTTTATAAATGGCGGCCATGGATTCTAACTCTGACCACGGAGGTTTTCCCGATATCATTTCTACCACTGTGCAGCCCAGACTCCTGGAAAACATAAACATGTGAGAAAGATAAGGATCAAGCAGCACTTTATACTGTATCACAGGTATGTTAGCACAGAATATATAGTAATCTGCCTGCATTTGATAAACTTCAAAATCCCATCCCTTTTGGTTATAAATTTTCAAAGGCCAATATCTGTTTCCTTACATTCTATAGGACTAGTCTATTTTCAAATAAAGGGGTTGCAGGGTTAACTGCTTGCCTTGATTTAAATAATAAAGACATAAGAGAACAATATATTAGGCTACTGTTTTATCAATCAAATGAACTAAAACATCAGTGTGAAAAGTGATGAATGACCAAATAGTGACTCCTTAAATGTATTTACATGGATATTTTTTTTTTAATTGTTAGCTTCATGAAAGCTTTTGATCACGGGCTAAGCCTATGTCCAAAACTGTTTTCATTATCATGAGAATTTTCTTTTGCTGGTGGAAATATTAAAAGGAAATTCAGAACTTTGTTACTAGAAATATAACCAGTAAAATAAGTCTTTATATCTTTCAAATATCTAAGTTTTGCCAATGTAAGTGGAAGCCTATCCCTATTAATGAGAACATGAAAAAGCCTAATGGAAAAATACAGTTTATTGAAACAATGAAAAGTTCAAAAGGGTTTGTTTTGTGAACTGGAGGTATGTTCAACTTATGCAAGACTTTCTTCAAAATATCTGAAGTACAACCCTTTTGCCGAACAAAACCCAACAAAATTTTGGTTAAAGGAAAAACTGTCCAATCATCATGCTCATGTCTTTTGTCATCAGATATGATGTACAATACGTACCACACGTCAGCCTTGCGGCCGTAGCCTTCACCGTTGATCACCTCCGGTGCCATATAGTGGGGTGTTCCCACAAACGACTTAAAACCGGTAGCACTACAAATGGTGTGGAGTCTCTTACTGGCCCCGAAGTCCGCTAGTTTGATATTTCCTTGTAAATCTCGTAATACGTTGGCAGCTACAAAATCACAAATGATTCCAAACATGAACAAATTTATCAAAGTTGATTAAGTTTTGTTTCAATGAGTGTGATAAAAAGGTCTATGAAATGTTAATGCTGATTTGTTTTAGTCTTTTGACCCACCATATAGTCTTCTTGTCTAAACACACAGAAACACACAGAAATACACAGAAACACACAGAAATACACAGAAACACACAGAAATACACAAAAATACCCTGAAACACACAGAAATACCCTGAAACACACAGAAATACACAGAAACTCACAGAAATACACAGAAATACACAAAAATCCCCTGAAACACACAGAAACACACAGAAATACACAGAAACACACAGAAATACACAGAAATACACAGAAACACACAGAAACACACAGAAATACCCTGAAACACACAGAAATACACAGAAACACACAGAAACACACAGAAATACACAGAAACACACAGAAACACACAGAAACACACAGAAATACACAGAAATACCCTGAAACACACAGAAATACACAGAAATACACAGAAACACACAGAAATACCCTGAAACACACAGAAATACACAGAAATACCCTGAAACACACAGAAATACACAGAAATACCCTGAAACACACAGAAATACACAGAAACACACAGAAATACCCTGAAACACACAGAAACACACAGAAATACAGAAACACACAGAAATACCCTGAAACACACAGAAACACACTGAAACACACAGAAACATACAGAAACACACAGAAATACAGAAACACACAGAAATACAAAGAAACACAGAAATACACAGAAATACCTGGTATCTGATGTAACATTCTGGCTCAATGTGATACTATGACACGACACAGTGTACAACAGATATTTTTATCATCTTCAGTTATCATTCTCATACAATGCAATTATTTGTATTATCTTATCAAATCACAATAAATTATAACAACAATAAATAAAGAATTCAAGGTGCATTCATTTAAATAATTCAAATGAGTTAAGATTGATATGAAAGTCTGGAAACTATCAGGTTTCAAAGGCTCCAAGACATACAAAAATATTCCTTATCATAGAAGACAGTGTAACTGACCTTGATCCCTGTAATAATTCTCTACTGACCTTTGACCCCTGTATTAATTCCGTACCGATCTTCAACCCCTGTAATAATTCTCTACTGACATTTGATACCAGTAATAAGTCCATACTGACCTTTGATCCCTGTAATAATTCTCTACTGACCTTTGACCCCTGAATTAATTCCCTAACGATCTTCAACTCCTGTAATAATATTCTACTTACCTATGATACCTGTAATAATTCCCTACTGACCTTTGAACCCTGTAATAACTCCCTACTGACCTTTACCCCCTGTAATAACTCCCTACTGACCTTTGATATCTCTATGTACAATGACGTTTTTATGAAGGAAGGCTAGCCCCTCAAGCATCTGACGTGTATATTTCCGCGTCACGCCTTCCGTTAATGGGCCGTACTTCGCCAGCTCATCCTTGATTGAACCCTGAAAAAAAGAAAAAAGAAATTATGCCGTGCTTAATTCTTTTTCTGTACATGAATGATTTCATTTTTACAGGTTAAGTAAAATCAGCATTTGTTTAAATTACCTTTCATATCTGCAGTCAAATTTTGTAACATTCATGAATTATTAAGGAGGACAAAGTACGCCTGGAATGCATTATGACATGCAAGTTTCACTTCCACCTTTTTCTCCTTCTTCAATCTATGATTGTAGTTAATGTTAGTACACAACAGGCAGTATATAGTAATTACATGTACCACTGGACAAACATGGATTTTACCGGCATAGTAATTAAATGTACCACTGGACAAACATGGAATTTACCGGCATAGTAATTACATGTACCGCTGGACAAACATGGATTTTACCGGCACAGTAATTACATGTACCACTGGACAAACACGGATTTTACCGGCATAGTAATTACATGTACCGCTGGACAAACATGGATTTTACCGACATAGTAATTACATGTACCACTGGACAAACATGGATTTTACCGGCAAATATCTGACTGAACGAAAGTTTCTTGATGTACAGTAGTAATTCTTTTCTATATATTTTCTTACACTAAAGAAAATTATCTTTTAAAAAGAAAACTGTATCCTAGGGCATTATCAACATGCCAAATGTTTACCATCCACTGTAATGTTAGCCAGATGTAAACTTTGTCTTCACAGAGGAGTTACTATATAAATAATAATAATATACAACATTTGATATAGCGCCCTATCTAGCTAACATAAGCCACTCTAAAGCGCTTTACAGTACATAGATGTACAAATAATACAATTAGGATATACAATTTTTGAGGAATTCGCAGGAGCTGCCTTATCAGGCTACAAGTCCTATGCCACCTGGCTAATATCTCCCTATGTGTGTATGCCTGCGTGTGTGCTGGAGATGTATTGTGTTCTGTTGTAGTGGGACTGTGCTTCCAATGGCATCTTTTATAGTGCCACCTCACTTGAATGTTACATCACAGATATCGCAACATCCACCTCAGACCATATTATACTCCACCTGGGTTGTTGGAGTTGTGTGGGCAGGAGAAAAACACTTTCTCTGATATTCCATGCGTGCGACGACTTCAGGGATCGAACCCCGGCCGCCTGCGTGGAAGGCCGAAATGTTTACCACTTAACCAATCCAAATAATAAAGTTTGATGTGTGCTATATCCACTATCTAGATGAATTTGTTCAGGGGCCAAACCACCAGGAACATTTCCCCATGTACAGTAAACAAATAATGCAATGTTCTTTAGGATTATTCCATTTAGGATATACAGAATATAAGACATCAGAACCAATTACCAACTTGCTAGGCCCTTCTCCCACAAAGTTAATTTTTGCCCTTCACATAAAATTATTATGTATATTATGTTGCCTTCCCTTATTTGCTGTTATGAAAAACTCGCCCTCATAATGGAGGTCAAAAAAGGCTAAAGAATTAAACTATGGCAAAAATGTCCCTGCATACAGTAATTTCCACACCATGATCAGAACACACTACACAAATTTTCCACACATATGGTAAGAATTTCCACTTGTATGGTATGTGTCTGGGGTTTAAAACAACTGTCAAAATTTGCCCCTTTCAGCTAGGATTTCTGCACTTACTCCGGGCATGTACTCCATGAAGATAGAAAGTATGCTATGATCCTGATGACAGCCGAAGTAGGACACGATCCGCTCGTGTTGGAAATTGCGTAATAACTGGATCTCGTTTTCCAATGCTCGCACCTCCTACAAAACAGACACGTTGAGTGTTTAGATGACAGTGATGACGTTAATATTAGAAACATACAAATGATTAAAATCAGACATAAACATCACTAACACATACATGACAATGAAGATTGTACCTATTTTTGTTGTATTTGCAACTTATGAACCGAAAGTCCTATGAGATTAATGACATTGAACATTGCATATCGCGACCAATGACAGGTAGCCATGGAGTCTGTGTCAACAACGTAAAATCATTGGTATTTTTTAAGCGATAATGACATCAGAAACGCTACAATAAAGCAGAACTGAAATTTAAAAAATTTTCATTGAGAAAGATTGTTTTCAATGAACAAGCAAATCAGCTCAGAGCTGTTATTATCTTTTATCTTTTATAGTAAGAAAACCTACTTCAGGCAAATTATTTCCCAAATTATTGTATAATGTACATTAAAGTCTGTAAAAATCACAAAGTAAAATCAATCAACAGCTAGAATGGCATCCAGCCATCTCATTAAAACGTAAACCAACAGATGGTCACGGCCGACCAGGGATACCGACTTACTTTCGAGGTCTCAGCATTCATCTGGTTTAAGTTGACTTGTTTGACAGCCAGCTCCCGGCCAGAGTCTTTGTCGTAACACACAAATACCTCTCCAAACGACCCTGACCCTAACCGGTGACCTTTTTTCCAGTTACTTGGTGCTCGAGGAGCTACAAAAATACAACATGGCACTGTAATCATCGAACCAGTAAAACTGCTTTAGCGACCTCCCATATAGTCTTATAGGATTTAGCGATCTCCCAAAAAGTCTTAAAGGATTTAGCGACCTCCCATATAGTCTTATAGGATTTAGCGATCTCCCAAAAAGTCTTATAGGATTTAGCGACCTCCCATATAGTCTTATAGGATTTAGCGATCTCCCAAAAAGTCTTATAGGATTTAGCCACCTCCCATATAGTCTTAAAGGATTTAGCGATCTCCCATGTAGTCTTATAGGATTTAGAGACCTCCCATATAGTCTTAAAGGATTTAGCGATCTCCCATATAGTCTTATAGGATTTAGAGACCTCCCATATAGTCTTATAGGATTTAGCGATCTCCCAAAAAGTCTTATAGGATTTAGCGACCTCCCATGTAGTCTTATAGGATTTAGCCACCTCCCATATAGTCTTAAAGGATTTAGCGATCTCCCATGTAGTCTTATAGGATTTAGAGACCTCTGATATACTCTTAAAGGATTTAGCGACCTCCCATATAGTCTTATAGGATTTAGCCACCTCTCATATAGTCTTATAGGATTTAGAGAAACCTTTCTATATAGTAACATATGCATGAGAGAACCCTTGTCTAGGGAAGAATATTTTCGAATGCATGAGATTCATGGCCGACGTGGCCTGAGACATGTTTCAGGGTGAGTAAGGACGTCTAAGCGTGAGATTTTGTCTCAACCGCGAGAGTTGGCAACCCTGAGACAGGTGGCAAAATTATAGCGTTAAACACTGTATATTTACTACTTGTCTAAAATTTGCCACCTGTCTATGTCTACAGTCAAACATGTCTTAGAGAAATTTGTCTATAGTTAAAAATTATTTATTCTCTAAGTGTTTCTTTCTTTCTGTTAATAATTTGTCTATAAAAATCACATGTTCGTTGATTCAATGGAAATATTTACAGATTGTTTTCATTCTTCGAGTAAAATTATAATGGTTTGAAAGAAAATAACAGTAAAATATGGTTACAACAAATCGCAATAATAATGTATTAAGAATATATTCATGTCCTTTTATCAACATGGTGAAGATTTTGTTCAAACAACTTTCACTATTTTGAGAATACAATTGCAATAGGTTTTTGCACCATGTAGTATTTAAGTGAAATTATTATAACTTACACTTTGAAAATGTTAAATCTGAATAATTATGTATGGGACTATCCAAGTCGTTCCCCCGTTTGAGTCTCCCTTCGGGTGAGTCCATGTCTGGATCAGGGGGGAGGCCACTACTACTGCTACTTGTGCTTAGTGTTCCTTCACTCCCCCGGGAAATTGTGGACCGACTCTGAAAATTACTGGAACCTATGTCCGGCCGTCGACCTGACATATTCCCTGACCTTGGGAAGGTCATCCTGCCATCGAGGTCAGGTGCGTGGGAAACATCAAATCCTCGCGGAAACGTCCCAGACTTGACAGGTTTGTAGTCAGATCCTGAAATCATTGAAAAATAATTTTGAACTAAAAGAAATTATAATTTAAGTTCATTAACGAATCCCTGTCCCACTGCACTGCCATTTTTTTTCTATATACAGTAACCTCCCCTTAACGTCCATTTGAATATAACTGTAGCACAATGTGGCTGGTATGTTTCCCTTGTCCAGGTAGCTCAATTGGTTACAGAGTTGGTATATAAATCTGAAGACCAGGGTTTGAATCCCTGTACCACCCGCAGAACATGTTTGTTGATTATATTTTGTTTATTTCATCTCCAATAAATTTCGTAAAAATCCCTCAAGGTATACTTTTCTTTGTTAAAGCTACATTTTATCATCAAAATTAAATACATAAATTTCTGTACTTACCACGGTCATCTTTAAATGAATCGGATGAAATACTTCGTCTGGAATGTGATCGCATCCTGAACGGATACGTATCGCCTCTGTAAAACAGGACAGAAAGAAACATTAGACAAAGTGACAGAGAACCATTAGACAAAGTGACAGAGAGAAACACAAGACAAAGTGACAGAGAGAACCATTAGACAAAGTGACAGAGAAACACTAGACAAAGTGACAGAGAGAACCGTTAGACAAAGTGACAGAGAGAAACATTAGACAAAGTGACAGAGATATTTGACAAAGTGACAGAGAGCCATTAGACAAAGTGACAGAGAAACACTAGACAAAGTGACAGAGAGAACCATTAGACAAAGTGACAGAGAAACACTAGACAAAGTGACAGAGAGAAACATTAGACAAAGTGACAGAGAGAACCATTAGACAAAGTGACAGAGAAACACTAGACAAAGTGACAGAGAGAACCGTTAGACAAAGTGACAGAAAGAAACATTAGACAAAGTGACAGAGAGAAACATTAGACAAAGTGACAGAAAGAAACATAAGACAAAGTGACAGAGAGTAACACAAGACAAAGTGTCTTACTTTTTCCATCAGATATATAATAAATTAATAATGTCAACAATCAACTGTTGGAAAAATAATAGCAATTTTTGTTTGATTACTTTTGGTTAGTGACAATAGAAAACAATTATTATGATTTCAATGAAAAGTAAAGCATTACTATTACAGTGATGGAACCTACAGGTGTGATACTTACTGATTGCTCAGGTAACTACAGGTGTGATACTTACTGATTGCTCAGGTAACTACTGTTCAGTGATGTGTGACTATCGGAGTGAGTGAGGGACCTATCTGTGTGATACTTACTGACTGCTCAGGTACCTATCGGTGTGATACTTACTGATTGCTCAGGTAACTGCAGGTGTGATACTTACTGATTGCTCAGGTAACTACAGATGTGATACTTACTGATCGCTCAGGTAACTACAGGTGTGATACTTACTGATTGCTCAGGTAACTACTGTCCAATGTTGTGTGACTATCGGAGTGAGTGAGGGACCTATCGGTGTGATACTTACTGATTGCTCAGGTACCTATCGGTGTGATACTTACTGATTGCTCAGGTAACTACAGGTGTGCTACTTACTGATTGCTCAGGTAACTACAGGTGTGATACTTTCTGATTGCTCAGGTAACTACAGGTGTGATGCTTACTGATTGCTCAGGTAACTACTGACCAGTGATGTGTGACTCTCGGAGTGAGTGAGGGAGCATTCAGGTCTGTGATACTTACTGACTGCTCAGGTAACTACTGACCAGTGATGTGTGACTCTCGGAGTGAGTGAGGGTCCTATCGGTGTGATACTTTCTGACTGCTCAGGTAACTACATGTGTGATACTTTCTGACTGCTCAGGTAACTACTGTCCAGTCATGTGTGACTATCGGAGTGAGTGAGGGAGCCTTCAGGGCTGTGATACACACCCATAGACTGAAAAATAAAAAGTTCCAATAAATATTTATAATTCATGTACAATAATGGAACTGCGGCAGGAAACTTTTGATTCAGGGAATTAATCCCTGAATAATTCATGTTATCAATTCTTGCAACAGAAATTGAGTCTCCATAAGGTAAAACCTCTCCACTGTGTCCACTGTTTCATCTGTCATCCAACCTAATACCACCTTCATTAGCAATCTTTTAAATGCCCCCATTTTTCTGAAAATTTATTAACATGTTTCCTATTGTATTGTATTGTATTGTATGGCACCTAGTTGTATTGTATGGCACCTAGTTGTATTGTATGGCCAGTTAAACCTATATTAAGAGACCAGTGTTGGGAAGTAATGTATTGTAGAATAGTACTTCAATGATGTATTGGTTTGAACTATATTACACTGCAATGTACATAGTGTAGTCAAATCTGAACACACAGTTAGAAGGCAGAGAGCTGGTCTCCCATTGCAGGAGGTCTCTTAACCCTTTCACCCCTATATAACTTTAGTAGACTCTACCATGCATTGATATGGAGGGGTTCATTATGGTCTACAGTGGTGAAAGGGTTACGGTGACATGTGCCACTGCACTGTAGGTTTTCATACACAGTAACCTCCCTTTTACTTATGTTTGGATGTAACTGTAGCACAGTTGGGCCACGATACTTCATTGACCAGGTAGCTCAATCGGTTAGAGCCATAGATTATAATTAGCAGTCTGAAGTACAGGGTTTGAATCCGGTCTAGCCCCACTCATTTTTTCCCACCCAGAACACTGATGTTGATTATATTTCATGTCATCTTAAATATTTCTTGAAATATGTCCGGCAGGGTATTATTTTTTTCTTTTCCAATTTTATTTATCAAAGCAATAGTCGTGCCGGACAAAAAGTTTCCCACACTTTGTTACAGTGTTTGGCTGTGCTACGGGGATCAGTAATACAGGTTTAGTTAGCATTAAAAAATACTGCTAGAGGATTTATAAACGTGGTCTTTTAACACAGCTGGTCTGTTGATAAAGATGGTTTCTAAGGCAGGTTTGACTGTATTTTGGTGAAGCTGATTATATGTTAGGACAGTAACTCTATTGCATTGTACTGTATTTCATTATAATACGAACAGCAACTCATAGTCTTTGGACTGTACTCAAATATTGATAAAGAATAAAGCAACTACATTGAGTATAGGTCTCTACATCAATGTTATGCACATAACAAAAATAACTCAGATTACAACGGTTTTACTATTGCTTGGATTTACAGAATTTAACATGTACATGTGGGTAATTAAAATTTACATTCGAAATGTTTTCAGTTTGTACTTTAAAACTGTGACTGTTTGTCAAACATTTTCCAAACAGTTTCAGCTAAATACTGTAAAATATTAACACTGTAACATATATATTTTATGTACATATATAAACTTGAGCTGCTAATTATATGTATTTATGCTACCTACAAAATATACATAAAACTATTTTTATCAACATCCTTTTCAAAAATATGTATTACGGATGAAAGGTCTAAATGTTTACTTCATTTTAATATGAATAAAACATACCAGGCTGGTTTATACTTGGGCACACCTGAATGCTTTAGAGTGCTAAACATGGACCTTTCACGACCGTATCATGAGCAACGTGTGTGTGAAGTAGGTCAAAGTGAAATTAAACTTGGTGTTATATACACATCTCGCAGCATTGCCACTGAATAAATCTCCAAAACAACAACACAGACTTGAAGAACTAGAAGTGTCGTTGCCCAATCGCTGACATCATAATCATGACTCAATTTTATACATATTGTATTATATTGCAAGGGAATACTGCTATATGACTTTACCAAAGCTATAAGGCATTCATATCTGCTATGAATACCAGAGCTTCTTTGATCATTTTATCTTTTATGACATCTTTTATATTCTAATGGTGATGCTGGTTACAAGCAGAAAAATAAATTTAATTTAAAAAGCTTAATTTTAATAACCAATTCCTACGTTAATAACACCTTTTGGTCATGTGACCATTTTTTGTTATGTAATTGATTTGATTGTAACAACACTGCAGGCTTAACTGTTCCAGGAGCATCACAGACTGAGGTTAGGAGCGTGAAATAATTGAATAAAGCGTGGATACTCTATTTAAATGTAAATATAGATAATGAATGTTTTAAACAAATTGTGTGACGACTTTAATACGCTGCTAGTGCTGGCTGATATAATGAAGCCAGGGAGGTCGTTATGTCCCGCTGTAAGTAATTAACGATGCGTGCTACAAGTCTATAACAGCAATGGTTTAAAACATTCAGCGTGTAAATATTTACATTCTCCCAGCAATGAATTACATAAATGAACTAAATTCATTTAAAGTGTGTGTCAACACTATTTGACACACACTTTAAATGCCATACTTGTCATCATTGAAACTCCACAATGGTTATGTTGCATATCAATGATTCTCAACGGCAGATGGCTGTTCTATTTAATGAAATAACAAAAGATAGTGAATCATATTTCGATCGGGCCATCTCCATATAAATGTGACATGTTTTATCATGTAGTGGAACTAGACTGGGTCAATCATTGGCCAGGTAGATCAATTGATTAAGCGTCCGTCAAGAGTTCGGAGGGTCCTGGGTTCGACCCCAAATAAAGTTTATATTTACCAATGGATCATAGTACTTTTCGTAATTATTAATACAATCTTCATTTTTATCAAATTTGTTTTCAATGTCACACCCCAGTTGTATAGATGTTTATCCTTCTAAGTCTTTTTTTAATACTATTTTAAATTCAATTTTTTATATTTACATTTCTACTGAACTTGGACTCAATATACCTACTTAACATTTTAAAGGTTATTTTTCAATGAACTTTTCAGTTGGCGTATGAATACATCAACATATTATCAACCTGATTACTCCGTTATTCCGCGGAACGCGGGAAGTAGTTCCGTTCTTAGATTGTTTTAATTTTATCTATTTTTTGTCAGAAGTATTCAATTGAATTCAAAATATAATTTACATCTTAATTTGCTTAATCATCTTACCAGGACGACGTCTCAAAGAGAGTTATGACGTCATAAGTTTTGATACCTTCCGTGGTGTTAGCACCTTCCGTATCGCACAAGAGCGATATTTTAGAAATTATCCAAACAAATATCAATATCACTCTGAATGTAAATATAAGGCTGGAATCCCATTTTGTTGAGCTTTATGTGGTATGAACCTCAATGGGTCTTGAGACAAATTCAAAATGAACTGCTTCGCAGTTCATAAAATTTGTCTCAAGACCCATTGAGGTTTATACCCCATAAACCTCAACAAAACAGAATTCAATCCTTAAGTGCCAGTTTGTTCATTATACAAATATGTCATTTAATTTCACAATTTGATAAACATTGCGTCCAGGTAGGCTTCAGTACAATTTTACCTAACACAGAATTACATTAGTGGTCTATGATTGTCATGCATGGTTGAATTTTAGACACTTTCAAGTACACTCATTTTCACACATGACCAATAACAAAAGAATTTCTACCTGAATTTTTTCATCAATACAAATTTCACCTCTTTTTTCCCCCAGAAGATCTAAATCCAGTCACAGTTGTGTTTATCTGAATCCAATTTTAGATGTTATTCTATTTTCTTTACCTCCTCCCTGTAGCGTAGATAACGACGTTTGGTACATTCTACACGAACGCATCATAAATAAACCTAAATGTGTGATCCTGGCGATATAAACCAATTATCTATAAAAATATAAGGAAATTAAATGGGCCAAGATAAAAAATGTTTACCCAAGGACACAAGCTTGTTGTGAAATGCCTTTTGTTAGGATTGTGTTTAGATATTGCAATTTTACACTGAACAGAGATTGTAAGTTGTCAATGTTGGAGATTGTAAGCTTACACTGACAGATTGTAAACTAACACTCACAGAGATTGTAAACTAACACTGACAAATATTGTAAGCTTACACTGACAGAGATTGTAAACTAACACTGACAAATATTGTAATCTTACACCGACAGAGATTTTATGCTTACACTGACAGAGATTGTAAGCTTACACTGACAGAGATTGTAAGCTAACACTCACAGAGATTGTAAACTTACACTGACAGATACTGTAAGCTTACATTGACAGAGATTTTAAGTTTACACGGACAGATATTGTAAGCTTACACTCACAGAAATTGTAAGCTTACATTGAAAGAGGTTATAAGTTTACACTGACAGATATTGCAAGCTTACACTCACAGAAATTGTAAGCTTACATTGACAGAGATTTTAAGTTTACACTGACAGATATTGTAAGCTTACACTCACAGAAATTGTAAGCTTACATTGAAAGAGACTGTAAGCTTACACTAACAGAGATTGTAAGTTTACATTGACAGAGATTGTTAGCTTACACTGACAGATTGTAAGTTTACATCGACAGAGATTGTAAGCTTACACTAACAGAGATTGTAAGTTACCATGTAAATCTGTCAGTTTAAGCTTACATTGACAGAGATTGTAAGCTTACACTGACAGAGATTGTAAGCTTACACTGACAGAGATTGTAAGCTTACACTCACAGAGATTGTAAGCTTACACTGACAGAGATTGTAAGCTTACACTGACAGATATTGTTGAAGGAACATTGAGTAGAGATATCTAGCTGTCAACCAGCAGTGATAAGACAACATGGAGCAGTGATTGCTAGGGCATGAACAGATATTGCATGTTTACATGGAGCCAAGGTGGTAAACAGAAAATTAGGAAACATAGGAGAACCCTAAAAAATTGTTAAGGGAATGTTGTGTGAAGATTTTAAGAAGATACAGATAAGTGTTTGTTAGAGGCAACTGCGAGTGAGCAAAAAGTTGAAAAGATATCGAGCAGGTATTGTGTTGTAATATGAGCACAGATTGCTAGCAGGTATTGAGCCGATAAACAAAGGTACTGACCTCATCCTCAGGAATAAACTCGCCTTCGCTGTGTATGGAACCACACGAGACACTGTGGTTATAATTGTGAGGTAACGACCCCGGCGGTGGACTAGGAGACTCTCGGTATGACTGCAGCAGAAAAAAACATCAAAACTGATAGCGAAACATTGGTAGATATGAAAACTGCTAGCGAAACATTGGTAGATATCAAAACTGATAGCGAAACATTGGTAGATATCAAAACTGATAGCGCAACATTGGTAGATATCAAAACTGATAGAGAAACATTGGTAGATATCAAACCTGATAGCAAAACATTGGTAAATATCAAAACTGATAGCGAGACATTGGTAGATATCAAAACTTATAGCGAAACATTGGTAGATAACAAAACTGATAGCAAAACATTGGTAGATATCACAACTGATAGCGAAACATTGTTAGATATCAAAACTGATAGCGAAACATTGGTAGATATCAAAACTGCTAGCAAAACATTGGTAGATATCAAAACTGATAGCAAAACATTGGTAGATATAAAAACTGGTAGCGAAACATTGGTAAACATCAAAACTGATAGCGAAACATTGGTAGACATCAAAACTGATAGCGAAACATTGGTAGATATCAAAACTGATAGTGAAACATTGGTAGATATCAAAACTGATAGCGAAACATTGGTAGGTATCAAAACTGATAGCGAAACATTGGTAGATATCTAAACTGATAGCGAAACATTGGTAAATATCAAAACTGATAGCGAAACATTGGTAGATAGCAAAACTGATAGCAAAACATTGGTAGATATCAAAACTGATAGCGAAACATTGGTAGATATCAAAACTGATAGCAAAACATTGGTAGATATCAAAACTGATAGCGTAACATTGGTAGATATCAAAACTGATAATGAAACATTAGTAGATATCAAAACTGATAATGAAACATTAGTAGATATCAAAACTGATATAAAAACATTGGTAGATATCAAAACTGATAGCGAAACATTGGTAGATATCAAAACTGATATCTACCAATGTTACGCTATCAGTTTTGATATCTACTAATGTTGCATTATCAGTTTTGATATCTACTAATGTTTCATTATCAAAACTGATAATGAAACATCAGTAGATATCAAAACTGATAATGAAAAATTAGTAGATATCAAAACTGATAGCGAAACATTGGTAGATATCAAAACTGGTAGCGAAACATTGGTAGATATCAAAACTGAACGAAGTATTATACTTATGTACCCCAATCACAACAAAAGAAATTCTACCATGATATAAAATTCATCTAAGCCATATAACATATCAAAAAAGAAAGGGAAATTAAGGAATTTTGAAGGGCTATATATACCTGTGAGCCGTAGGCACTGTCAGCGACAGAGGGTGGTCCGTGTCTGGAGGACACAGTGTCACGACCGTCACGACCGTCAGATGACGCAGGTATGGTAAGGAAAATACGAAGACTGGTGATCTTGTTGTTCTGGTCCACTAAGTTAATGGCAGTCTCTAGATCCGTCTGTTTCTGGATTGGTACTCTCATCTACAGAATTATCAATATGGGACTATTGTAACCTCTATATTGGCTGGCAGTAAGGCTAAGGTGCTAATTTTGATCTGTCATTTTCAGATGACATTCATATTAACTAAGAATGCATGGTCAAGGTTACATGCTAAAATTGAGTAATTTTTATATGGCACTTGAATGAAAACTTTAGATTTGTGTCAACATTGTTATTTTTTCTTAGTCTTTTTGTATGCATATACAGTGGCTATCAAATGTAAGATGTTCAAAGCTTACAAATCTCCCATGTGCTACAGCAAAACTTACCTCCCAATTGGCCTTTATAAAGAACATCTCCATGTCTGAATTACAACTTACCTCCTCATTGGCCTGTGTGAAGAATATCTCCATGTCTGATGGACAAACTTACCTCCCCATTGGCCTGTATGGAGAACATCTCTGTGTGGAGAACATTTCTGTGTCTGATGGACAAACTTACCTCTCCATTGGCCTGTGTGAAGAGCATCTCTGTGTCTGATGGACAAACTTACCTCTCCATTGGCCTGTGTGAAGAACATCTCTTGTGTCTGATGGACAAACATACCTCTCCATTGGCCTGTGTGAAGAACATCTCTGTGTCTGATGGACAAACATACCTCTCCATAGGCCTGTGTGAGGAACATCTCTGTGTCTGATGGACAAACATACCTTTCCATTAGCCTGTGTGAAGAACATCTCTTTGTCTGATGGACAAACATACCTCTCCATTGGCCTGTGTGAGGAACATCTCTGTGTCTAATTGACAAACTTACCTCTCCATTAGCCTGTGTGAAGAACATGTTCATATCCATGTTATGCATCTCCCGCACCTTACATCGGAGGTTGTCGTACGTCACCGGACGGTTCATGTAAATACTCCTAAAAGACAGAGAAGGTTTCATTTATAAAAAGAAGTAGAAAGTTCTACAAAGGCAAATAATATTTTAATGTGTTACCCTCTCGGTCTCAAACTGAAAAAAGAAAAATAATCTGACGTAGTAAACTGTTCATGACTCCACAACATAATTATATAGTTTATATAAATAGTATACGTGTTATTTGTGTTAGAGTTATCTCCCCTAAAACCCTTAATTGGTATTGTGTCATTTATGATTAATTACTCCTTAGCTACTAAGGTGTGCATTGCATGTACCTGTTCAAGTGCCAAAAATTGTTTAACCAAATCCAAATCAATATTTACAAAAATATATTTTGTAAAGTTTATTAGTTTGGAACTCTTTTGGAATGAAAACCAGAGAAGGTCCAGTGTAGCATTCATCTTTAAAATGAACTCATATTCATACCACTTCTTTTTTAATTAGAAAAACTTTATTTTTTCTGTACGCAAGAGTTGATAGAAACATCATAAAATTTTCAAACAGACATATACTTTACAAGACACATCTCTGTGATCAACTCATTCACCCCTAAAGACACATTTGAACTCTTCCAATTTAAAGATTGGAAAAGTTCATTATGAAACTTCAGGGGTGAATGAGTTAATTAATAAGGCTGAGCACAACTACGTAAAACGAACAGCACTGAACGTACTGGGACCCTGAAACAGAACTACAACTTAACTAGATTAATGGAAGGGAAAGCAATTTCTGTCATGCTTTACTGATCTAGAAAATGTGATGTCATTCTTACTTTAAGATATTTATAGAACCATTCAAAACTTGTAACAGTCGACAAAGTACATAGGTATATATATTCTCTGTAGTAGTTAAAGTACACCTTAGGAATAAACAACGAACACTGAAACTGTGAATTTGAAAGCTGCTATATATATCTCCGCAAGATGAGCAGTGGTTATTAGCTATATATAGATGTCTATTCACCGTGGCCGGACATCTTCAGTCATTGTTGTCAAGGCTTGACACATATTTGTCAATATAATGATTGTCAACCCTTGAGAGGTTATAAGAAATGTATCTGACCAATAAACAGTGGCATTCCTTCTTAAAACCAAAAGTTTTACCATAAAAATATACAAAGTCAAAGCCATACGTATATTTTTTCTAAGTCAAGAAAATAACCTAAACAGAGATAGTCTGGTTATAGCTTAACTAGATATCTCTGCAAAATGTAAGCATTACACTGTTTTGCTATTCTTTTACCCACTTGCACAAAATTTTATTCACAACATCAAAATTGACCTCATTCAATTTTTATACAAATATTCAACATTATAAGTGTAGTTATTATTTTTTCATATTGTTCCCAACAAGTGATTGGCCAGGAGTGCATCATGTGTCCACCAATAAAAAACGATATTGACTAAGAGCAAATGCTTTTTGTTGAAGGACTGAGTGTGTCTAAAAATATAATTATGACAAGTCTCCAAACGTACGCATCGTCCTGCTTCCGTTGATTTTTGCTGTGATTTTTGTTCCAGATTGATAACATTGCTGTTTTGAAAATAATAAAACAATTGTAGCCTTTGACTTCGGTCAATCGGTAAATCTAGGTATCGACCTCAGCTAAAGGCTATAATGGAATATTATTTTTACTGCAGTGCTACGTTTACTGGTATTCATTAGCATGGAGTGCTCTCTCCCATCAAAGGTTGATAAACCCATGTAATAAGCCCTTTATATATAAGTCAATAACTGTATAATTTCAGGGTTTAGGTCCTGCTTCAGGAACATGTTCACAATTTCAGGTCGATAAATCATGGTACCAACTTTATTATAGGTTTATGATTAGGGGTGTACTTCTAAATATTTAGCCCTTTCAACCCCATGTAACTATAGTAGACTCGGCTGTACATTGATCTGGAGAAGTCCACAACAGTCTGCAGGGGTGAAAGGGTTAGAGTACTAGGCCACAATGGGGATTTTTGAGGAGACAATGTTCTACTAGGCTGACCTCATATTTGATTGAACATTTTTGATAGCCCCAACATGGCATCTAGATCTTCTAGCCCAGAGCATTGGTCTTATAGAATTGTACTTCCCTAAAAACTATATAACTGTATGACATAGTTCATGTTATAGGACCATTCCACTCCTAATACTAAAATGACGCTTTAAGGGTTTTGTCGATAGATCTGAGGGATTACTTTTTTTTAAATCAAGAAACTTGAGAAAATTTCCCTCAACTTTTATGTTTTATTTGACAGGGTGTTAAGTAGTTCCGGGAATGTCTGAAGAGCCTTAGTAACCAAGTTATTCCTCAACATGACCTCGATACAGACTCGTCAACAGCCGATCACTACCAACCACCCACACAGTGACAATTGATGTGCACTGGCTGCTACATTCCTGTCACCACTGTAGGGCCTGCACACACATCTGTATTGTAGCGGTCTAAGATGTTACCGTGTTATAGCAATGTGTGTCTTATCTACAGCTCACAACTCGTATTTATACAAAATTCCAAAGTTGTTTCTTTTTAATTTTTAACGTAAAGTCACCGACATCCACCGAATTCTTGATCACGCTTATTCCCCATAAAATTCTTAAAGATTTCTTCAGTACATATTGGTTATTATTGATTTTTTTGTATCATTTAAATTTGTATCTTCGTGGTTGCATACATTCCTCTGTGCAAACGTCATAAATTTATTTTTTAAATTTATTAATTTTCTTAATGTATGAATATGGATGCATGAGAAAGGCGATTTACACCTTTACAATATTTGTTAGTACGGAAGATACTCATAGCCAACGCTTTTTATAAATTATCCTTCTCTACTATATCAAAACTAAATTTGTCCACTTTTGTATTTTATTTTAATTTTAAAAGGGCTGTTTGAATTTTATTCCTTGTTCTGTAAAAACACCTCCAGAAAACTCAAAAATTGAAAATCTTTTATATACTAAGACAAAATTCAGACAATACCGTATATGGCAAGGAATATAACTAAAGTATCAGAATGTGGTAATCTAATGACAGTATAAATTTTAAAACTCTTTCAGCTAATCCTAAGCTCACTGGTTTAGCATAACAGAACTAATTATCACTGAGATGTAGCTGCTAAAGTACTATGGTTTGTCGTAATCAAATGTACCCCACACCTACAATTATTATTATTACTGCCTAACGGCCTACCAACACAGGATAGGTCATTAGGGCCAACAAATGGTCACACCTACAAAAGCATGAAAAGGGGATCACTTTTTACTTCATCAGTCTTAGAATTTTCCCAGAAATCCCAGTGTTTTCAATAATAAAAGTTTCTCCAATTCGACTTGTATGAATCCCTAGACAGCAGACAAGACTTGAAACCGTCTGTGAGGACAGGACTGCCTCAAAAACAAGAGGCCCAGAGGGCCTGTATCGCTCACCTGAATATTTAAGCAGTCATAGCAAATATTCTCATTAAATATTATATTGTACTACAAATTTGTCACACACGAACTTTGTCGGCTCCATCTGTTGAAACTACCTGTCAAATATTATTATAAGATTTTATGCTTTTTGGCCATCGTTCTTCAAATATTAAAATTTTATGCCTTTTGATTTTTCGGACTCTAGGCCTTTCCCTTCTTCAGAAGAAGTTGTTTAAAGGAAAAGTTGACGGACGACGGACGCCGCACCATGACATAAGCTCACTTGCCCTTCAGACAGGCGAGCTAAAAATGGCAAGGGCATAAACTTGCATCGACATAAAAGACTAGTGGTCATGAGGTAATTGACACTAAATCAAATTCATCTTTATATAGACCACTTTTTTTTTTTCTTAAATTGTTGACAGTGCACCAACAGGTCAGGCTGATGGGTTCCAGATCTTTTCTTCATAAGATTAAGATAAAGTATCAGTTACATTACAAGATAGATCAAACCTCTTGTAGAATCCCTGATTACCAAATCATATGCAGGGGACGTTTATGAAAGTCATTAAAATGCACGCTTTTGTTATTCACAGGTGAGGTTGACAGAACGTAAATCCACTTTACAGCCACCGTCCGCTGACGCCCCGTCCATCTTTGTATAGACATGTGGGGGAGTTCTTCAAGGGTAAACAATCAAACTACTAAAGGACATTGAAGAAAAGTACTTCAAATACATTTTTTAGCTGTTTAATTGTACTTGAGAAATTACTAATACTTTTGTAGTTCGTCTAAGAGTATATTCTCATCATAAACTGTTCTACTTGAAACCCGAGGAAGCTTACGCGGGACTACAAATATAAATAGCAGGGACGAACACATATTAAAAGCTCAGTCAGCTATGAAATACATCTTAGTTTGTCTCCAATGTGTAATAAATATTGTTCAGTATTATAGATAACTGTTACAACAAATTTGGTAATCACAACAATAAATATCTAACAGAAAATTGCTTTTCAAACTTTAGTATTTATTTTAGTATATTTTACACAAAGTTGACAGACAGAGGAAAACTGAAGGAGACATGTGAGTTATTTCCTTTTCTATGTTTCGTCTAAGTCCATTTGGCACTGCCCATTTCTATTTATAGATTATTACTCCTACTACATACTTCAACATTTCAAGTTGTTCGAGAATTTTCCAAATTTGTCTGATGACCTTCAGACTTGAAACAAGGTCAAGCCCCAATTACAGACACCCTCCAGAAGAGTTGATGACGTCAGATTTGTAATGTATCACATTTATCATTGAAAAACCCAGTTTTTATAATAAGTACATCTATCCCCTTTCAGCCTTTCCCCTCGAACCCTAAATCCTTGTGCCGTCTTTTGCCTCTCGTACCATCTCGGACCACGACCAACCTCTCCCACCCATCATTCCTCCTTTACAACAGTGGAGAAATCAGAAGTATATGTTATATGCCAAGTTGAAATCAGATATATCTGAAAACAAAACTGACAATTTGAGTGTAAGATTTCCAGAACATAATACTTGGACTTCCACTCATCCTAAATAGAATCTCTAATGAACAATGCCACTGATCAACTTACACTGAGAAGATTGTTTTTGCCAAGCATATTTTTTTAGAGATAATTTTAAAGTAAAGACAGGTGACTTTTATGTATAATGCATTAAATATAATGCTGACAGTTTATTTTTTTATGTAGCATATTCTGAGATATATTATATATTTGAGTGTGTGAAGAGTAGAATGCAAACTCAAATATATCAGAAGATCTAAGTAACACATTTAAAAGGCCATTGTTCATACAGGTAATTAAAATCTTAGTAATTAAGTCCACAACAATGGGTAAAATAACTGTTCACTTAAAATAAATCAATAACAGTATCATTTAAAAAAAAACTTATTTTCAATACAGATAGATGAAGCTGTATACCAGGAAGAGTTCACCCCTGAAATTTCATAATGAAATATTCCAACCATTGAATTGGAAGAGTTCAAATGTGTCTTCAGGGGTGAATGAGTTAAAAGTTCACCCTTTATGATCAGGGCAAATATATTACCCCCAGAAATATTAATAAAAGTGCAGTATCTCAGTGGTTTCTCCATTAAAGAGGATTATGTACATCCCCCCAGAAATGTTCTGCCTATCATTATATCATACTACCAATGCCCCCCCCCCCCCCCCTCATATTTCTAACTTGTACAGTCAATACATAGTAAAAGGTTTTATCTGTATCACATTGCCTTTTCCGCATTGCAGCATCAGACTTTTCCAAATTCATGACATCATGTCATTGTTGAGCCATTGTGACGTCACGTCAGTGAAATGGGGTGTAAGATAGATTTCCTACCCTCCTTTCTTACCCCGGACAGCTCTATCTTACACACAGGGTAATGAGAGAAGAAGTAATCTGATAAGGAAGTTATATTTAAAGTGTGTTTGCTCCCACCTTTTCTCTCCATTATATTCCAATTTGATCCTCAGAGTCTGGTCTCTTCTCTGCAATGAAAACAATTTGAAAATTTAAACAGTCACTAAAATTTACATGAAAAAACTATTTTGCAGACCTTATAATCAAATTCATCTGCCAAGGAACTAAATGGAATGACTTTACAATTTAATGGTTAAACAGATCAACAAGGAAATGACCTTTGACCAGGAAGTAAATACAGGCAATGTCAAGTGAAGGCGATTTGATATCTTTTGCAATTTGATCATTAATCAATAAAATATGACTCCCGCACAAGGAAAAGGTTTAATATTTTGTAAGATGCTGTTTCTCGAATGTCAAGTTTAATTCTGTGATTTTGGGTTTCCAATAGGGGACCAAATGGGGGCAATGAATGATGACTTCCCCTTGGGGAGTGTGATCTGGGTGATAAGGTTCTCTATAGGGGAATAACGCATACCTTGACGTCCGCTATTAGAACGTTTTGATCTATTGAGGTTCACTTTTGGGAAATTTATACAGTAATAGCACTTATTTTAGCGGACTCAATTTTTAGCGTATTATTGAATTTCAACAGATTAGCGTATTGAAGAATTAGCGCTCTCATACCATGATGCTCCATGCTGCAACAAATAACTTCCTGAGTGGTGGGGTTCCCCATGGGAGATACTCACCTTGAGGTTGGCTATAGCAGCTTTCTGAGCATTGGGATTCCCCATTCGGAGCCCCCTCTCCAGCTGGGACTGGATGTTTCCCATGACATCCTTGAGTGCCTGGGGATTCCCATCTGAAAGAAAATATGATATCAAAATAAATATGTCAAGGTCATGAAAGATGTTTCATAAATTTAATCAACAATCAGTTGAAACAAAGGATGTTCATCTTTTGAAAGACTTCAAGTATGGTATTCTCAAAGCTGAAATCTTGCTGAAAAGAAATTTTGAGACCTTCTTTTTATCAAAGTCACGTTTTCTTTCATCAAAATACCAAAACAACATAATCAATTGGAGTATTTGTTACAACTGACTCTAAGTTATTTCAAAGCATTGCTCTAGATGACCTCGTTCCATTTGTAATTTTAGCAGAAGACAGACTGCGATGATCATTGACAACCAGGTAACATAGCTCCACTGGTTAGAACATCTGTCTCAAGTTCAGAGGTCAAGGGTTCGAATCTTGCATTTTTTTCTCCTGTTACAGAGGTGCCTGTGACCAACCCTGGTTTTAAGTTCTGTGTGTACACTTGGCAATGGGATACAGGAACCAGTGGGTTGTCAATAGTCTTGTCATGGGGGGTGAAGAAAGAGGAGGGTAGAAGTATAGGAACTGGACAGGTCAATCGCCAGCGACCAGGTAGCTAACTTGGTTAGAGCCTTCATCTAAAATTTGAAGGTCCAGCGTAAGAAACCGGGTCCGGCTGTGCATTTCTGTGCCCCCATACATATCAAACATTTCTAGTCTTGAGGCTAAATAAAACTTTGATATTTACCACTGAGCTAAAGATTTTCCACAACTACATATAGGAAATGTTCAAATATGAACTGGGCTAGAAATACTGATGATTAGAACCATTTTATTACGATGAAAAAGTTCTAAATCTCGACCAGAGGAATAGCCATCCATACAATTATGATAGCAACAGAGATATTTATAGATACTGAAATATACAAACAAATCCTGCATTGTGTATTGTTTGTGACACTCCAAACTTGTGTATCACCTCTTCAATCAATGATAGACCCGGGATTGATTCCATTTTGAAAGTTTTAATTTAACCTGGTAATGTTTTTTTGCCTTTGTGAGCTGGGAGCACCATAATAAATAATACACTAGGGTTCTTTGGCAATTGAAGCTCCTTAGAGAGCTCCTTTTATAGCCCAATGTCTTGTTAGCTTGCTATCAGTTTTTTATCAGTTAGCCGTGTATATATGTAATATTCACCCCTTACCTTTTGGGACTGTCATAACAAGGATTTTTTTTAATTAGTTGCACATGTTTCCCGTGACCTTCAAATTTTGACTTAGGGTCATTCAATAGAAAGTTTAATCAGCAGAACTGCTTTCTTTTTATTTATGTAATTTTATTCTCTCTCCAGTTTAAAGACAGGTTAAACTGTTTTTATAGAGAGATCTAGAAGGGCAGGCAAGCTAACATTTTTCATATTTTTTCCCACTTGTTTCCCAGTAAACCAGAATACTGTTAATACAATGCTATTCCAACCTGAATCCCCCCTACATTTTTAAACTGAACTTGCCCAGTCTTTGATATGGTAAGGTTCAAATGAGACTTTAGGGGTGAATGCGCTAAGATCAACAAATCGCTAAACACGAACACTAACCTAACCATACTTCAGTAAAATCTATACATGGCCAATTTCCGCCTTTGTGTAAAAACATTTCCCTCTTGTATACAAAGGAACCAGTAAGGCATGCACTAATGTGGAAGTCTTGTGTTTACCTCCACGAGATATACAGGTATATCATTACCGCCTTACCTGTACAAACTACCTACCTACACAGGTAAATCTCTAACAACATTATCAATACTAGATCTCCCCACAAAACAATGTTAAGGTCTCAATAGTGAATTCCTTTCACCGGAAAGAAAACGTATAAAAAGTCGAAAACAATGGGGCCTTGTATCAGAGTGTAAACAAAGCCACTTAAGACAATCTACATATCAACAACAAGCACCCGAATATACACATTGTGTTACACTCGGGGTTAAAGGTAAGGCGGGACAATAGCTTGATAGCTCGCCCTGACTGGGATCACTGTGACCAGGAATAGTAATAGTTGGGTCATTTTTATCATAAAAAACAGGATCTTTACTGAGTTTCCATTTCATAAAATATTTATGCTGTTTTTAAATTATGAAACTTAAACCACTCGTTTTTCATTTCATACAAAATTCATTATACAAAGAAACTTATCACAAACGTTTATATGTTTGAGATCATCATAAGTTCTATGAAATGAAATTTTCTAGACTTGCTCTTTAAAACTCAAAAGAAAAGTGAACACCATTAATATCCATTGATATTTATGATAAAAATTATGTATCTGTGGGTATACTGATAAGACCAATATTCATAGATTAATAACAAAAAATCTCAAAGAGGGTTCCCCACTAATTTTTTAATTGAAGATTGTTAGTAAGGAGTGATATTGACATGTTAATGTAATTAGCCCCCCAGTTACATGTAAACACCGATTACAGAACTTCCTTCGGGGCTGACAGTGATGTTTGGCTATAAATCAGGAGGCCTGATATTCACGGTTACGTAGATACACAGTTTACTGTCCCTGATAGACGTTGCGGGCAAAAACAACTTTTTTTTAGGAATTTGATAAAATCCATGTTTACTGTTTTACATGTTTGCAACAAAACAGGACATTTATGTCTAAAAGCATGGTTAGGCATGTAATACACAAACACTACTTCCCTTACATTTTTGATTTTTCGATAAATAAGGCTGTGGTTACATGTATGGTGATATTTATTTCTCTATAACAGGTGCTTTACCCTCATCCCCCTCAGCAGAAGTCAGTAACGGTTTAAGTACATTACACAAATTAGCAAGAAATACATAAAAGTTGTTTAACAATCTAATGGCTGGTCAAGATGAAGCCACCTATCTCGTACATACTGCAGTGTGAGTTACATCACATCCATGGCAGCTTAACTACTACACATACTGCAGTGTGAGTTACATCACATCCATGGCAGCTTATGTCTACTACACATACTGCAGTGTGAGTTACATCACATCCACGGCAGCTTATGTCTACTACACATACTGCAGTGTGAGTTACATCACATCCATGGCAGCTTATGTCTACTACACATACTGCAGTGTGAGTTACATCACATCCATGGCAGCTTATGTCTACTACACATACTGCAGTGTGAGTTACATCACATCCATGGCAGCTTATGTCTACTACACATACTGCAGTGTGAGTTACATCACATCCATGGCAGCTTATGTCTACTACACATACTGCAGTGTGAGTTACATCACATCCATGGCAGCTTATGTCTACTACACATACTGCAGTGTGAGTTACATCACATCCATGGCAGCTTATGTCTACTACACATACTGCAGTGTGAGTTACATCACATCCATGGCAGCTTATGTCTACTACACATACTGCAGTGTGAGTTACATCACATCCATGGCAGCTTATGTCTACTACACATACTGCAGTGTGAGTTACATCACATCCATGGCAGCTTATGTCTACTACACATACTGCAGTGTGAGTTACATCACATCCATGGCAGCTTATGTCTACTACACATACTGCAGTGTGAGTTACATCACATCCATGGCAGCTTATGTCTACTACACATACTGCAGTGTGAGTTACATCACATCCATGGCAGCTTATGTCTACTACACATACTGCAGTGTGAGTTACATCACATCCATGGCAGCTTATGTCTACTACACATACTGCAGTGTGAGTTACATCACATCCATGGCAGCTTATGTCTACTACACATACTGCAGTGTGAGTTACATCACATCCATGGCAGCTTATGTCTACTACACATACTGCAGTGTGAGTTACATCACATCCATGGCAGCTTATGTCTACTACACATACTGCAGTGTGAGTTACATCACATCCATGGCAGCTTATGTCTACTACACATACTGCAGTGTGAGTTACATCACATCCATGGCAGCTTATGTCTACTACACATACTGCAGTGTGAGTTACATTACATCCATGGCAGCTTATGTCTACTACTCATACTGCAGTGTGAGTTACATCACATCCATGGCAGCTTATGTCTACTACACATACTGCAGTGTGAGTTACATCACATCCATGGCAGCTTATGTCTACTACACATACTGCAGTGTGAGTTACATCACATCCATGGCAGCTTATGTCTACTACACATACTGCAGTGTGAGTTACATCACATCCATGGCAGCTTATGTCTACTACACATACTGCAGTGTGAGTTACATCACATCCATGGCAGCTTATGTCTACTACACATACTGCAGTGTGAGTTACATCACATCCATGGCAGCTTATGTCTACTACACATACTGCAGTGTGAGTTACATCACATCCATGGCAGCTTATGTCTACTACACATACTGCAGTGTGAGTTACATCACATCCATGGCAGCTTATGTCTACTACACATACTGCAGTGTGAGTTACATCACATCCATGGCAGCTTATGTCTACTACACATACTGCAGTGTGAGTTACATCACATCCATGGCAGCTTATGTCTACTACACATACTGCAGTGTGAGTTACATCACATCCATGGCAGCTTATGTCTACTACACATACTGCAGTGTGAGTTACATCACATCCATGGCAGCTTATGTCTACTACACATACTGCAGTGTGAGTTACATCACATCCATGGCAGCTTATGTCTACTACACATACTGCAGTGTGAGTTACATCACATCCATGGCAGCTTATGTCTACTACACATACTGCAGTGTGAGTTACATCACATCCATGGCAGCTTATGTCTACTACACATACTGCAGTGTGAGTTACATCACATCCATGGCAGCTTATGTCTACTACACATACTGCAGTGTGAGTTACATCACATCCATGGCAGCTTATGTCTACTACACATACTGCAGTGTGAGTTACATCACATCCATGGCAGCTTATGTCTACTACACATACTGCAGTGTGAGTTACATCACATCCATGGCAGCTTATGTCTACTACACATACTGCAGTGTGAGTTACATCACATCCATGGCAGCTTATGTCTACTACACAT